AAGTAAACTCTCGTAGGTTTCGGCCATGTTGCAACCACTGGACTCCTGGACCGTGGTCAGAGCAGTCAATTTGCCATTCATCTCGCATGTACTTCTGATTACTGTTCTGATGGATGTCAACTTAGCTATGCTCATGGAACCCAGCAACGAACCACTGGTTTGCAGATGTTCCCCCACGTACTCGTAGCAACATTTGCCCTCGCATCAAGATTGCATGGTGGTGCTATATAAGGTAAGTTGGTCATGGTCTCTTTGTTGAGGGATATGACCTGGTAGTGAAGTTGGAGGGTTGTTAACCAATGTTAACCAGTATGGTGTTACACATATTTATATATGGATATAACATGATATACATGGATTTACATGGAATATAATGATATAACTTATAGCATGTACACCCTACTTATCAAGTGGGGCTGCACACCCAGTAAAGAATCAAACATTGTTCTAGTTTGATGTAATTGTTCCCCATACCATACCCTGGTTTCTTTGGTCCCAGGACCTTCGAGAAACTTGTGCCGACGCCGCTGGTAGAAATTCAAGGCTGAGGCCCGACTTTGCTTTCTTTTTTCAAAGCTGTGCGCCATTGAAAACTGCAGTGGCAGGTTTTGAGACTGATTCCTGTTTTTTTCATGTTCTTTTCATCCCTGCCTGGGATGAAGATTTCATGTGACGTTCCCGAGATGGGTTGAAGCCAGAAGATGATTGAAGACTTATTTGCATCAACACACGACTTGTGCCAGTTGAAGCCGATTTCCAGGCGCATCCATTCCAGGCAGATCCGCTGACATTTGGAGGCGCCAGCCTTTGGAGCGTTCTGCAATGAAATCCAGTGGTTGCGATCACCATATTAGCGTAGATTGGGGGTTTCTTAACTGCGAGAAATCAGATACCAAGCTCTGTTTATATATTTCAGTGGGTAGTAAGGAATCAAGATGGGCACCGCCAAAATCCAATGGTTTAAAACCTATTTTTGTCAATTATACATTTGATGGTTTATTTTGTGGGAAAATCGGCAATTTCACACCCACATTGCCATTCTTGGGTGATCACCTGTAGGTAGTTTGGATCGATGAATGGTGATGGCAACGTCGGATGACTCGGATGATGACATGTTGTCACCGTAGGTTTGGCAGTTTGGCGGTGGCTTGCAGCCAACACAGGTGGGACTATGTTCTGGCGATGGCGTTTGAAGCTGCTATTGGACAATTTCATTAATTCCTATCGCTCGCAAGACCAACATCATGCATACCAATGATTTATCGTATATGTTTTCATTTTTGTTGATACATCCTCTAATCACAGACTAGCAGCAACTCTCAAAGAGACCAACATGTTCAGGGATCCAATATGTAGCAGCGAGTGTCAGAAAATAGACAAAGTGCAGATACACCGCCTGATTCAAGTAACAGTGCAGTAGAGAGTGTCAGAAAAATTGTCAAGAGTGCACTGCAAATGAAGTGACCGAGTTTCAACATGCCCTTTGGTCTATCGCTGATTCTACATCCTGCAAACTCCTTCAAGAAAGGAAAAGTCCCAATTGTCAAACAGATGCTGCCAGTAATGGTACGTAGTGTTTATGCAACTAAATATACTGTACTGTTGAGCACCTCCGGCATTTTAAGCACAAAACAATCGCAAAATTCCTTTAGAAACCACGATCTCTGTGAGAAAGAGTGGCATATCTTGAAGAAAGTATCATTCCTTCTATACAAGAGGCATTCCTCTGAAAGATAGGAGAAGCATTCGCATTTTGCGAGCACATGAGCCCATGCATGAAAAAAGAAATCGCATTTTGAGCCGAGCAAGTGCAGCATGGAGCACCTCCAATGGCCCTTCCAGGAGACCCACCCGGGTTGACACAGTGATGCTGCACCCAGGCCATGGACGTTTCACAAAAACGGATCTGCCCAGAAAAACAGTGGCTTTACAGTGGCGATACAAAAGTTTTTGTCATTAAAATTATGTTAATCTCACTGTTCTCACCCGGTGCACGACAAAGCTTCTTCTCAACAATCACACAAAGTGCAGGACATCGTAGTGTGTACTTGCACTGTGTGTGGAAAAGTCCACACGTTAAAGTCCTTTGAAGTTACAGGGGATGTAGATCTAGGATTCAAGATTCATGGTTTCCCAAAAATCATCAGGTTTACCCTGGTTTACCCATGCGTATCCACTGGAAGGGTCATTTCAGTGGTGAGAGAGGCCGTGCTCTCCGTGCGCCGAGACGCCCGAGACGGCCTCGGCGGCCTGGCGATGGCAAGGGGCCACAGCATGCCACAGCTGTCGTAGCCGTTTTGAAGGGTTTTCAGCGGCAATCGCAAACTGGTGCAGTTCCATGAAGTTCAATCCGGCATCTTATGATATTTTTATAGATGTTCTATTCTGTCAAGTTCAACAGGTTCAACGGATATCGGAGCTCCAGATCGGAGCTCCAGATTTCAATGGATGTTATACGTCTCGTTCCCCTCTTCAAAGTTTCCTTGAAGTTCAAGAGTCGTGATTTCAGGTGCGTCCTTGTCATGATCAACGCAGCACGTTTTATTGAAACATCCTGTTTTGGAGTTCATCCATATATTTGACATCTGCAGAGGGGACTCTTCTTGGACACCCATGAGCCAATGTGAAGAATGAGAGAAATGTTTCTACGCATTGAATCATCACTTGTCAAATTCAGCAATGCGAATATTGATCAATTCATATCAATTCTATGTATTGAAGGGTGTCAGTTCGGGTGTCAGCAGTGCTCAGGCAACGCACCCGTGGATATGGTGAACTTGCTGGACAGACGCCTCTTGGCTGCGGTGGGCCTCAAGCACTGCAGTGGCCGCCAGTGGCCCAAGGATGTCAACTTCAACGGATATACCCTCTGGTAATTTAACATAGCTATTGAAAATGGCCCATTTATAGTGAGTTTTTCCATAAAAAACATGTGATTTTCCATAGTTATGTTAGTTTACCAGAGGGTAACATGGTGAAACTTCTGGCACTTGTGGGGATGAAAGCCGTTTTCAAGTGGCGTGAGATAGTGATATTTGTCCGGACCAGGGGATGTTTATGCTGCGAATGTTGGACAAATCTGAAGTCCGTACACGGTGCCAAATCATCCTCGCAAGTCCTGCCAATAAGTGAGCATAGATCAACATAGATCAACCACGAATCCGATTGAGTTTGCAGACTTGATTTGGTGGCCATGCATGGGATTCTCTGCGTTAACCCCGCTGACCCTTTCCAGTTCCATGGTCTCCGGAGACAACATCAAGAACAGGTTGGATCTTTGTTGATTGTCTCCAGCTACACATGGCCTAAGGGATTCAAAATGTCACAGATGGGTATGCGCCGAAGTACCACAAGGACCAAGGAGTTGGTCATGTGTTCGTTCATGATGAGCTTAGACGTATCAACATCTCCGTATTTTCAGGTTTAACCCTCAAACGGTCCAACCATTTTGAAGTTCAAGTGTTCTGTGCACCTTCTCGCAGCCCAAGGTATGAACCGCAAGGCCTGGCAGCAACACGGAGTAGCTGAGCGATGTTTGCGAATCCGCTTGATGTTTTTAGTTTGGTGTTTCATGTGAGCGGCTGTCAATATTCTTGGTAGTCAGTATGCAATAAGTAGTATAAGGTCAGCCACAATCCATTAATTTGGAGGAATCAGAACTTTATACTACTGTAATACTAATGATTTTGACAGCTGCCCATGCCCATGTGCATTTAGACGGCCCTGGCCCCGGTAATAATTTTCAAGACAGTATTATGTATCGACATGGCAATGCTTCATTTTGGAGAGGCACACGGTCCATAGTGAAATTTGATGAAAGTTGCAGTTTTACCCTTCAACCTCAGTGCGTAGCAAGATCACGTCACACCTGTGGTAGCCTTTGACATCGTTTGATCATGAATTTGGAAAGGGGAATTTTGTCAGCTGCATTGACCCACAGCTGCAATTAGCTCCCGAGTTTCTTTAATCTTTGCTGATTGTATCCCCATTATTTCTTGCTTAAAGCCCATGGAACAGCATGATTTCCTCGTGTTTGTTTGCCTTCCCATCAGGCAAAGGTCTCCTCGGCTTGACTAAGTGGTCTCTGGGGTAAGCTTCCCAAAATGTCCAAAAGCGGATTCCGGGCCAAAGGTGCCCTGAAGAGGTGCATCCTGTGATCAAAAATGCGCTGCCCAACTCCTTCAGGGTCACCGGGTGGTCAGAATTGGGTCTCAAAATTGGATGGTTTCAACGCCATGATCTGTGGTTCCATGGTGCCTCACAGAGAAGAGGTTCCTTTTGAGTTTCGTCTCAGTTTGGGATTGAGCTCAGCAAGTGGCTTCGACCTCCTCCAGCCATCACGGGTATAGCCTGAACCTGAAGATTCCCGTCAGTAGTTCATTTGTAATAATTTTGATTACCTCATATTACCTCCAAATTGTTGTCTTTCATTGTATAGTGACATGGTGAGCAAACGATCGCAAAATGACGTGTAAATCCATGGAGCTTGGCTTCATGATCATCCCAGCAACCCAGTCAGGACTTTTTCCAATGCAAATTGCAAGACGCATCAAGAAGTAACAAATACCATTCTTCAGCTGGAGTCTTTTAACAGCTCCGTCGACTGTTGCGTGATGTCTCGATCTTCGGAGGAAAGAACTTCAAGGTTTTGCTTTAATATATAAATTCTTTTTTCTGTCGGGTCTGTTAGAGGTGGTCAAGCTTAATGTGGGGTCAAAGTGCCATGGAAGATGTGCATATATGTGCATGTAATACGCGATCGATGTCACACCATTCCATTTTCAGGTTCAAAGCAACATTGGGACACTTCAGCTCTTCACATGTTTGTGCCAAACTATGATCTTTCTCATTGCGATTGAAATTGAATTCTATGATACTTTTCATTAGCAATTTCAATTGAATCCATGGTGTTGGATGGGCTTGTTGCCCAAAGGGACCTTGGAAGCTTCGGCATTGCATCCACTCCACCCACCCTTCCTGGATTTGACATTTCGGTACGGTTTCACCATTCTACGGGAATTCCCGTTGCACAACACGTGCAAAGAATGATGGCCTTGGGAACGCTCGCAGGGTTCCCAGATGTGCTGGGACAGCAACTTATTTTGATTCATACCAGGTACTGTACATGAAGCAAATGGTTGACGCCACATAAGCATGCAGGTCAATGGCAAACTTGGATATGTCCTTGTTTTCTTCCTGATATCTAGTGCAGCACGTTTCATGGAAACTTGATGCTATCAAACGACCGCAGAATTGTTGAACAGTTAGTCATGTAGACAAGGGACCAAGTGTCAAGTCAACGAGATTGGTGAGGCTGTCCAGCGTGGTCACAGAAGAGTGGTTTTCAATCTCTAGTCTGGTTTTCAATCTCTCGTCACTGCTCAGCGTCAACCTCTGTTCAGCATGTTGTCCGGTCTTGACACAGCTGGAAAGGACTTGCCAGCTTTGGCCGAACTTCAGCAGGCAAATGACAATTTGAAGGCCCATTGCGATTTGTGGTTGGAAGCCCTTTTGCAAATACATGTAGGTAGGTCATGTTCCAGTCTTCAGGAGGCATTCGGAAAAAGTGACATGTGCTTCTGTGCTGCTGCGTTTCTGTGGAAAATGAAATCCAACACGCAGTTAAACAAGCGTTAAATGTTTTTGCGTTTTTTTTGACTGATTTGATATGTTGGTGGTCTGGCTTCATTCCCTGGAAAGGCCTTCTTGAAAACATTTTGTGACCGTCTTCGGGAACAAAGAATTGAGCGACAAAAAATCGAGGTTCACGTGGTGACCGGAAATTTGGAATGCAGGTAAACCAAGGGTTTAGAAAGTTTAGGATGGTGTCACTTATCGAGGATTTGTGAATAAAACAGAAGAGGATATAATATGATATATCTAAGGGCTGCCGCCCCTGCCGCCGACCCCGGAACAAGCAACCGAGGTTGTGTCAGCATGTCAGTTTGTCTGTATTTCTTGAGACATTCTATGAAACACTTCATGCACCGCTGGTTCCTTCATGTTGATTTGAGCCACTTTTTCCTCCTTCTGCTGCTGCTGCTTCTGCTCCTGCTGCTCCTTCTGTTCAAACGGAGTACAGTAGAAGCATGTGATTTTCGCTACTATTTCCTCCTGCTGCTGCTGCTGCTGCTGTTCAAAAAGACAGCACCCGGATGGAAAAAAACCCTATAGCAGTGAAGGACGAAGAAACCCCAAAATTGCACCCCAAAAATGCCTAACGTAACTTCTGAAACCCATAGAAAATGATGATTTTGGCTTTTTTTTCTTCTTGTTCCTGCTATGAATTTTGGCTACCTTTTCCTCCTGCTGCTGCAGAGGCTTTTGCTGCTGCTGCTGCTGCTGGTCCCCGGATGGGAAAACACCATGGCAGTGAAGGACGGAGAAGCCCCAAAATTGCACCCCGAAAATGCCTAACGTAACTTCTGAAACCCATAGAAAATGATGATTTTAGCTACTTTTTCCTCTTGCTGCTGCTATGAATTTTGGCTACCTTTTCCTCGTGCTGCTGCAGAGGCTTTTGCTGCTGCTGCTGGTCCCCGGATGGGAAAACACCATGGCAGTGAAGGACGGAGAAGCCCCAAAATTGCACCCCGAAAATCCCTAACGTAACTTCTGAAACCCATAGAAAATGATGATTTTGGCTACTTTTTCCTCTTGCTGCTGCTATGAATTTTGGCTGCCTTTTCCTCCTGCTGCTGCAGAAGCTTTTGCTGCTGCTGCTGCTGGTCCCCGGATGGGAAAACACCATGGCAGTGAAGGACGGAGAAGCCCCAAAATTGCACCCCGAAAATGCCTAACGTAACTTCTGAAACCCATAGAAAATGATGATTTTGGCACCTTTTTCCTCTTGCTGCTGCTATGAATTTTGGCTACCTTTTCCTCCTGCTGCTGCAGAGGCTTTTGCTGCTGCTGCTGCTGGTCCCCGGATGGGAAAACACCATGGCAGTGAAGGACAGAGAAGCTCCAAAATTACACCCCGAAAATGCCTAACGTAACTTCTGAAACCCATAGAAAATGATGATTTTGGCTACCTTTTCCTCCTGCTGCTGCAGAGGCTTTTGCTGCTGCTGCTGCTGGTCCCCGGATGGGAAAACACCATGGCAGTGAAGGACGGAGAAGCCCCAAAATTGCATCCCAAAATGCCCAATGTAATTTCTGAAACCTATAGAAAAAAATGATTTTGGCTGCTTTTTCCTCTTGCTGCTGCTATGAATTTTGGCTTTTGCTGCTGCTGGTCCCCGTTTGAAACCCATAGAAAACGATGATTTGAGCCACTTTCTTCCTTCTGCTGCTGCTGCTGCTTTTTCTCCTGCTGCTCCTTCTGTTCAAACGGAGTATAGTAGAAGCACGTGATTTTCGCTACTATTTCCTCCTGCTGCTGCTGCTGCTGCTGCTGTTCAAAAGACAGCCCCCGGATGGAAAAAAAATCCTATAGCAGTGAAGGACGAGGAAGCCCCAAAATTGCACCCCAAAAATGCCTAACGCAACTTCTGAAACCCATAGAAAATGATGATTTTGGCTGCTTTTTCTTTTTGCTGTTGCGATGAATTTTGGCTACCTTTTCCTCCTGCTGCTGCAGAGGCTTTTTGCTGCTGCTGCTGCTGGTCCCCGGATGGGAAAACACCATGGCAGTGAAGGACGGAGAAGCCCCAAAATTGCACCCCGAAAATGCCTAACGTAACTTCTGAAACCCATAGAAAATGATGATTTTGGCTACTTTTTCCTCTTGCTGCTGCTATGAATTTTGGCTACCTTTTCCTCGTGCTGCTGCAGAGGCTTTTGCTGGCCCCCGATGGGAAAACGCCATGGCAGGCCGCTTTTTCCTCTTGCTGCTGCTATGGATTTTGGCTACCTTGTCCTCCTGCTGCTGCAGAAGCTTTTGCTGCTGCTGCTGCTGGTCCCCGGATGGGAAAACACCATGGCAGTGAAGGACGGAGAAGCCCCAAAATTGCACCCCGAAAATCCCTAACGTAACTTCTGAAACCCATAGAAAATGATGATTTTGGCACCTTTTTCCTCTTGCTGCTGCTATGAATTTTGGCTACCTTGTCCTCCTGCTGCTGCAGAAGCTTTTGCTGCTGCTGCGCCCGGATGGGAAAACACCATGGTAGTGAAGGACGGAGAAGCCCTAAAATTGCACCCCGAAAATGCCTAACGTGACTTCTGAAACCCATAGAAAATGATAATTTTGGCCGCTTTTTCCTCTTGCTGCTGCTATGAATTTTGGCTACCTTTTCCTCCTGCTGCAGAGGTTTTTGCTGCTGCTGCTGCTGGTCCTCGGGTGGGAAAACATCATGGCAGTGAAGGACGGAGAAGCCCCAAAATTGCACCCCGAAAATGCCTAACGTAACTTCTGCAACCCATAGAAAATGATGATTTTGGCACCTTTTTCCTCTTGCTGCTGCTATGAATTTTGGCTACCTTGTCCTCCTGCTGCTGCAGAGGTCCCCGGATGGGAAAACACCATCGCAGTGAAGGACAGAGAAGCTCCAAAATTGCACCCCGAAAATCCCTAACGTAACTTCTGAAACCCATAGAAAATGATGATTTTGGCTACTTTTTCCTCTTGCTGCTGCTATGAATTTTGGCTACCTTTTCCTCCTGCTGCTGCAGAAGCTTTTGCTGCTGCTGCTGCTGCTGCTGTTCCCCGGATGGGAAAACACCATGGCAGTGAAGGACGGAGAAGCCTCAAAATTGCACCCCGAAAATGCTTAACGTAACTTCTGAAACCCATAGAAAATGATGATTTTGGCACCTTTTTCCTCTTGCTGCTGCTATGAATTTTGGCTACCTTTTCCTCCTGCTGCTGCAGAGGCTTTTGCTGCTGCTGCTGCTGGTCCCCGGATGGGAAAACACCATGGCAGTGAAGGACAGAGAAGCTCCAAAATTACACCCCGAAAATGCCTAACGTAACTTCTGAAACCCATAGAAAATGATGATTTTGGCTACCTTTTCCTCCTGCTGCTGCAGAGGCTTTTGCTGCTGCTGCTGCTGGTCCCCGGATGGGAAAACACCATGGCAGTGAAGGACGGAGAAGCCCCAAAATTGCACCCCAAAATGCCCAATGTAATTTCTGAAGCCTATAGAAAAAAATGATTTTGGCTGCTTTTTCCTCTTGCTGCTGCTATGAATTTTGGCTTTTGCTGCTGCTGGTCCCCGTTTGAAACCCATAGAAAACGATGATTTGAGCCACTTTCTTCCTTCTGCTGCTGCTGCTGCTTTTTCTCCTGCTGCTCCTTCTGTTCAAACGGAGTATAGTAGAAGATGTAGAAGCACGTGATTTTCGCTACTATTTCCTCCTGCTGCTGCTGCTGCTGTTCAAAAGACAGCCCCCGGATGGAAAAAAATCCTATAGCAGTGAAGGACGAAGAAGCCCCAAAATTGCACCCCAAAAATGCCTAACACAACTTCTAACACCCATAGAAAATGATGATTTTGGCTGCTTTTTCTTCTTGCTGTTGCGATGAATTTTGGCTACCTTTTCCTCCTGCTGCTGCAGAGGCTTTTGCTGCTGCTGCTGCTGGTCCCCGGATGGGAAAGCACCATGGCAGTGAAGGATGGAGAGGCCCCAAAATTGCACCCCGAAAATGCCTAACGTAACTTCTGAAACCCACAGAAAATGATGATTTTAGCTACTTTTTCCTCTTGCTGCTGCTATGAATTTTGGCTACCTTTTCCTCGTGCTGCTGCAGAGGCTTTTGCTGGCCCCCGATGGGAAAACGCCATGGCAGGCCGCTTTTTCCTCTTGCTGCTGCTATGGATTTTGGCTACCTTGTCCTCCTGCTGCTGCAGAAGCTTTTGCTGCTGCTGCTGCTGGTCCCCGGATGGGAAAACACCATGGCAGTGAAGGACGGAGAAGCCCCAAAATTGCACCCCGAAAATGCCTAACGTAACTTCTGAAACCCATAGAAAATGATTATTTTGGCACCTTTTTCCTCTTGCTGCTGCTATGAATTTTGGCTACCTTGTCCTCCTGCTGCTGCAGAAGCTTTTGCTGCTGCTGCTGCTGGTCCCCGGATGGGAAAACACCATGGTAGTGAAGGACGGAGAAGCCCTAAAATTGCACCCCGAAAATGCCTAACGTGACTTCTGAAACCCATAGAAAATGATGATTTTGGCCGCTTTTTCCTCTTGCTGCTGCTATGAATTTTGGCTACCCTTTCCTCCTGCTGCAGAAGTTTTTGCTGCTGCTGCTGCTGGTCTTCGGGTGGGAAAACACCATGGCAGTGAAGGACGGAGAAGCCCCAAAATTGCACCCCGAAAATGCCTAACGTAACTTCTGCAACCCATAGAAAATGATGATTTTGGCACCTTTTTCCTCTTGCTGCTGCTATGAATTTTGGCTACCTTGTCCTCCTGCTGCTGCAGAAGCTTTTGCTGCTGCTGCTGCTGGTCCCCGGATGGGAAAACACCATCGCAGTGAAGGACAGAGAAGCTCCAAAATTGCACCCCGAAAATGCCTAACGTAACTTCTGAAACCCATAGAAAATGATGATTTTGGCTACCTTTTCCTCCTGCTGCTGCAGAGGCTTTTGCTGCTGGTGCTGCTGCTGGTCCCCGGATGGGAAAACACCATGGCAGTGAAGGACGGAGAAGCCCCAACATTGCACCCCCAAATGCCCAATGTAATTTCTGAAACCTATGGAAAAAAATGATTTGGGCTGCTTTTTCCTCTTGCTGCTGCTATGAATTTTGGCTTTTGCTGCTGCTGGTCCCCGTTTGAAACCCATAGAAAACGATGATTTGAGCCACTTTCTTCC